ATATGGGTTACTTGTAATTTCTGAGATCCTGCTTATGTTGAATTGTTCATTTGATGCTTCTCTGCAATTTTTTTCATGTATTGGTCCAAAAAAGAAGTCTTAATATGTTAATCAACTTCTATATTCTGTAGTCTTTTGCACATCAGCTTGCCATTAGTATGAGCTATGCAGTCAAAATTAACTCATTTTATTGTGATTGATCGTTTCACTTAACTTGACAAGTTTTGATAAGAGCTTGTTCAGTATGTGACAGTAAATATCATGTATTTTGTACACAAGTTTTTTCTTAAACCTTTGTTCAGACTAGTAGGAATTGTTACAGAAGAATTTGTCTGCTCAAGTTTTCATTTTGATCAATTTCATAGACACATTACAGAGGTATCAAATGTCAATGTTTAGCCGTAGGGTTCCATTTGGTTGTGGTTTTTGTGAGTTTTGTTTGGACTGGTTGAGCATTACAGAGGTATCTCTCTCTTCATCGACATCTCTCTCTCTCTCTCTCTCTCTCTCTCTAAGTTATATATAGCCAGTTTTATCGTTTCTTTATATTTGTGTGGCCGTATAGTTTGGATTTTCCTGGTATTGTCAAGCATATGGCTAGTGAACCATATTGAAGGTTATTGTAAGTTGTTCTACTGTTATGAAAAATCAAGCTTTGAATAGAGTTGTCATGAGCGTGCCTAAATTGGGTTGTATGTAGATTTCTGTGAAGACTTGTTAGATTTGAGAGAGTCTAAGATGGAAACATGACAGTGCATGCCTTACAGCCCGTATTGAGTTGCGGAATGAGATATGCTACAAGGTTTCTTTTTCCTTGGGCTATCCTTTTTATAATGCATGCATTAGAATGATTATTTAACTGATTGATACTTTTTTCTGCCAGGTTTTTGAATCATTCAGGCAATGGTTTTTGAAGGGACACAACAAAAACAGCTCAGAAATTGGTATTTACCTTTATATTCCATCTGACTTTAAACAAAAAATTGGGAAAATCGAGTATCGCCGCGCGGCTATACTATTTCTTTTAAAAAAATATAAAACCCGAGTATAGCCGATAATATTTATTAAATAAAATAAAGTAAAAAAGCCAAGTACAGCCGGGCGGCTATACTATTTCTTTTTAAAAATAGCCGCACGGCTGTACCATTTATAAAATAAACTGTACCATTTATAAAATAAAATAGCCGAGTAAAGCCGCGCGGCGGTACTATTTATTTTAAAAAATTAGGAAAAGACCGAGTATAGCCGGTCGGCTATACTATTTCTTTAAGAAAATTAAAATACCTAGTATAGCCGATCGGCTATACTATCTCTTCTGCTCTCGTCAACTTCGGAAGTGTAAACGACGACGTTTGGGTGTTGTAACTGGAAAGGGCTGCGATTGTGGCAGAACCGGTTCAGAGTTGAGACGAATCAGAACGACAGCTCTGTTGTACCTTACCGTGGAAAGTAAGAGCTCCGTCGGTTCTGGGTTTGAAAATCCTGGTTAATTTTGAGGTAATTCTTAATAGTCATATTTTGTAACTCTAATTTTCAACAATTTCTGGGGCGTGAGGTTTTCTTGGCTCCGCTAATAGGGTTTGGCTCAAACTTTCATTATATTGTCAATCTTTTTTGTAATTTAATGAAGTTAAAAATTGAAAATTAGAATTGGAGGTTCATATATTCCACTGACATTGCCGAAGAAGACGTAGTAATCTTTCTCGGCGTCTGTCAATTTTGTCAATTTAAGCTATGTTGCTTGAATTTAATTCTAGACACCTCCTTCAGATCACCATTCTCAATTTCACTCACCACTTTCAAAGTGTTTAATGAAACCAAGATTGGTATCCGTTTGTGTGTTTGGTTGATTATTGGTATCCATTTATTATGTTATTGGATTTACAAGTACCTGTCATCTAAAATGATCTCTTTCCTTGAGACTAGTGTGAAGTGAAGTATTTGGCATCACTGTGTCAGCATGAATGCTGTACACAGGCACTCGTATTGCTTCTAGGAAAATCTAAATTTTACTATGTTCTGATGACCTGTATTTGGCATCTGTTTAAGTTTTAAACTTGTGCAGATGTTTAAGCCTAGGCTTTTCCTTCTGGGGTTGGTTAGTTCTTATGGGGAAAATGGGATGTCTTTTAAGTTTTAAACTTGTGCAGATGTTTAAACCTAGGCTTTTCCTTCTGGGGTTGGTTAGTTCTTATGGGGCAAATGGGATGTCATACATGGACATTTTGTTTAGGACTTCCATATCAATATTTGTCTGAGTTTGTCATCTCTTGTTTTGCAAGTGCGTATTTGATTTCTCCATTCAGTTGGGTTGTATTTGGAATGATATAGATATCACTAGATTATGGTGTGCTTCATATCTTATTGATAGTTTTTGGGGTTCTATTCACTTGGTTTTCTGGTGCCCTGTGATGCTCATGTGTTCTTAGTGCTTTGTGTGGATGAAGATAAGTGAGTTCCATTGACCCGGCTCTACTCTGTTTCTTGCTGTTGCTGAAATTCATCCCTCTTAATTGTGCAATCATTTCTCTCGTTTAATGTGGTGTCGGTGAATTTTATTTTTAATCGTGAGTTAAGGCTTGGATTTACGTTCCTTCTTTGATTTTATTTTGGCTTGGCTTTTGATCTGGTCTACTTTCTGCAAAGCAAGTTAGGATCTGGTTACATGTTTATGTTGGTTGGAAGCTTTGAAATCTACTATTTTGTGAAATTGATGGAATGCAAACCTGAAAATAAATTCTAACTGGTTTTGATGGGAGATATTTTGTAGTACATGGTTTTATTGCTTTCTCCTCGGGTTGTTGATTTCTGCAGTGATGCAGTATGTAATCTTTTTTGGATTTGGCTTTTAAATCAGTTTTCATATGTACTGTTATTGTATCAATATTAAAGAATTCTCTTTTGTCATCTCCAGGTTCTTGACAGGATTTAATCGATTCAGATGATTAACGATGCGCTGTTTTGCCTGGACCATTGTGATTTATATAGCCTTGAAGTTTGATGACACCAATTTGGTTGGTTATAGTTGGAGTGTAATAGAGTGCATCCTTGGATTATTGATGCTTTCGGGTCATCAATCAGCTGGAAGACAGTATTTTATCTTCTAGTTGTGTAGGATCATTGATCCGGATATACCATTCGTGATGATTATGTTGCCACAATTGAAAAGTTTAACAATATTTTCATAGAATTAAGTTGTAGGAAAAAGATCATTATCCGAATAGGGGATCGCAGAATTTTTATTTCGTTCAAGTGTTTGGCGACGATTTTCCTTTCGCCGCAAAAATATCTATTCGCAACGGTTAGCGACGGTTTTTACAGTCGAAAAAGAAGTTTTTAACAAATTAGACACCTAAAAGTCGTCACGAAAGGTCTAAATTAAGTTACTAAAGAACGAAAACTGTCGGAAAAGCTATAAATTCGTCATTTTAAACAAGACTGTGCTTCCGCTTTTGTTTCTCGAAAGAAGCTTTTATTTCTCATTTGTCTATTGCTATATATGTAATCAACTTGGGGTTTGATGTTATATATGTAACTCCATAATCAACTCTAAGAACAATTGTGAACCAAGTGGAGTTTTTTTTATAAAGAACAAAAGAAAAAAAAGAAGAAAGAAATAAGGTCCACAAAGCGATAGAAATATAATCAGGAAAATCTTATTAAAATAGTGGTTACAAACATTTGAGAAATATATGGGTCATATTCTTTTTCCTTTTAGCAGATTTGTCTTTCTTTTGAAATAAAATTCCTTAAGAATATTACAAAAGTCAACTGGGAATTTTCATTAGATTTTAATTACCATGAATGCGAAGTTAACTATGCTTTTATACAGAATATGAAATATTACGATGTTCACAAATGAATATCAGATCGTTTATACAGAATGATCTATGCTCTAAGTTAAATAGGAATGTTATGACAATAGAAGTCATATATATGCATGGCTCATGCTCTTAATTTTGTAAGCATCCTCCTGCTATATATAAAAGCAAATAGATGTTGTTGCGGGAACCAACATTTTATCTTTGTGGTTGTAATTGGAATAACAAAGTAAATTTCTTACTTGAGATGAAAGGAAAAATGGTGCTTTGTCGTTTTGAATGTTTGGAACAGAAGCTGATTTTTTGAAGCATATGTTAATTGTAGTACGGGCAAAACTCCATGCGTCCCAGCCCCCAAATTTTGAGAGAGATAAATATATATATGTACACAGAAATTCTCCTACGTGACCATTGAAAAAGCGACCAGACTCAATGCTACCACTGAAATTTCGAACCCTCCAAAACCTCATTATCAAGCCCTTTCACAGAACCTCCATGTCGATCTAATAACAAACTACGTACAGTACAGGCAATGCTAGATACAAATTTAGCACCAATTAATCCAATGAGCAAGTTGCCATTCATGATACAGATTAATATAGCCAAAATGACTTGCTAGAGATGCATCAAATATTGATTATAATTCACTGTTTAATCACCTAGACCAAGGTTAAAAAAAAACAGGTGGCACAAATCGCAGAAACAAACCGTAGCTCATTCCTTATACCTGGACTATGTTCTTCCCCTAAGCTTTTGATTACATTTCCCGCAGCTCTCATCCTGTGCTCAGCGATGAATGCAACCGCCATTAGAGTTTGAATTTACTAGTGGGAAAGTAAACACGTCCTTGAAACTACGTAAATTCTCAGCAGAACTAGAGATTTGGGAAAATTATTTAGTGCTATATCTGAGCATGAAATGGGTATTTGAATTCTCGGAATTTGAGCTTACCCTTTGTGAATGGTCCTCAATTACAAAGGGAACGAAAGGAACTCAGAGTGCGATTCCTGCAAGCAATTTCAATAAAATGTGGAGTGGATTGTGGAGAGATAAATGAACAATTGGTCTGTTTCTGTTTGGCAGCTGAGAAAATGTATTGTATAACTTACCAAGGAAAGCGTGATTGAAGATTTTGATCTTTTCCGAGTAGCCCCTGAGATTTGAACCGGTTTGGATATCCTGACGACGTCGTCCCAAGTGAAGACATCATCGGAGGCTGAGACTGATGTAGT